GAGAAAAAGTAACTTAAAAATACCTGGAGATAATGTCATAACTGGCAAGACAAAAAACCAGGTGATTCCCTAATTCATGCTAAGAGAACAGATGTGTTACTAGAGGATCCTGATTCCCAGTTAAAAAACTGTATATAGGGATCAAGCACAAATGGAGAAAGGACAAAGGGAGGGAGGGAGCAGTTACTAGGGAATGTTGGATTATCCAGAAATTTTTATTGGAATAAAATAAACCAAATTTGAGAGATACATGGCCCAGGTGACTGCCTGGACACTGCTTAGAATGGATTCTTGTGATAGCAGTCTAGAAGCATGGATGCCAAAACATATTAAAAAGATAAATCACAGGTTTGGAAGTACTTTAAATCATCTATTAATTTCTGAGGGCAGACAGCTGGGTGAAAAATAAATGAATGCAAATATACTAAAATTACAAGGGTAAAGAACGTGGCCTGTGGATTAATGTGGAGTGCTGGCCATTCAGTGAATCTTGTTAGTTGGCTTCCTATAAACTCAGATTTTGCTGCACAATGTATACTACAACTAAATCCTTACTTTCTCTGATTCAAAGTGCACTAAAATGGTGTCCAGACCTGGGGTCTCAACCATACATTTAAAATTATTTTAGGGAGGGAGCAGATAAGCATCCCTGCCAAACCTGACACTAATTACCCAAAGATACAAAATGAACTTTCTCCCTGCAGTCACTTCTGCAGCACTGATCACTCTCATGCTACTGCAACCCAGGAGAAGTATGAGAGAAGAGGGGAGCCTTGCTGTGTGGTTCAACTCTACTTGAATGGTGTGCGTTCTACAGAAAAGCAGTGCAACGGGTCTGCAGGCTGCAAGCTTGACTTCAGTCTCCTGCGCATTGAGTAGGGTCCATTTGAAGCAGTRGCTGGAGAAGGTATTTCCTGAACCCTCATCAGACCTGTGACTGTCTATTTTTTCCTGCATGTAGTACAGAAGGGAGCTTTGCTTCCTCAGGAATGGGGTCAAACAGGTGCTGTGCAAGCATTCTTTTCTTTGAGCTCATTGACCCTCATAGACCAAAGTAACATTTGTGGCCAAGAATGAGGCTAAAGATCACAGCAAGATCCACACACAAAAGTCTCAATCTCACATCTGGAAAAAGTAAAAAAATAAATTCAGTAAGCTCTCCTAACAAGTGCTGCTATGTCATCATTCTGTAAGAGCCCAGAATCTTGTAAAACAATCAAGTAGCAAACTACCAATAAATGTCTCCACAAAACTTCAATACAAGCAGCAGATAACACTCTCTCTTCATCTCTCCTGATGGAGCTGCTCCATTTTTTATATGTATTTAAGTATTCATTTGACAAGAGGGAAAGACTGACAGTTGTTTGGTACTGAAGACACGAGGGATCTCAGACCCAGATTCAAGCTCTCTCACAGAATAATATAAAGTATTTCTCTGGGGTTTGCATTACAATATTTTTTCTTTGTTCCAAAACACCGCTGGACAAGAACACAGAGAAAGGAGAATTACACTGGGACAGTGCATAATCCAGTTATACAGCATCCACCTGGGAAATGAAGGAGATGCTCTGAGCCTATGTGAGTGCTTTAACTGTTAGGCTAAGATTCCCTCATGATTTCCCAGTGTCTTCCTCTCTCCATGGGGAAAAAAACAAAGTCCCTGGCCATGGGAAAATCTTTACCAGCAAAGCCCAATTCTATCAAAGATTTTGAGAGGCCAGAATTTTCTGATGGAAAACATATTCCACTGGAAAATTCCCAGCCAGCTCTATGGAAAACAATGCTGGCGTAATTATTCATAGTTTAATTAAAACAAAGCAAAATAGAGTTCAAATCCTCAAGACTGCATGTAGCATCTTCAGAGTGCTACAGATCAGTGAAGGTGGTGTGCTTTGTTATTTAAGTGAAGACCAGAGTTACCAAGCAATTTATTTTCACTGAAACGCTGTTGACAATGCAGCTGGGACAGTCATTTTTCAAGATGACYTTTCTGACCTCTATATCAGCACCAGAAGTAGCTGAAGGTTTTGAATTGACTAATAGATCCTGTGTTAATCGACTTCCCTGGTTAATTCACTTGCTGTACTTTAGGAGGGAGAAAGGAAGAGTGACTTGGCTTGCTCTAGTCACCRAGCTACACTAGTTAAACAGCACCACATTGCATGAAAGTGCTTTATGAAGGCTTATATAAGTGTGATTTGCCCTTGTAAAGTGAAATAGTTTCCATTTTTAAAACTCAGTCAATTTAACCCTGTCTCTCCACATCTATTTAATTCAGATGGATGCTACTTTTCTGTTTAGGAATTGGAGTTCAATGGATTAAGCAGAGAAGAGGTTTGATACAGACAGAAAAAGGGATGAAAATTAAAAAGCAGAAAAAGAAAAGAAAACTAGGAAGTGGGAGAAGGCATAACAACAAAATAGATGAAAATTTGTAATACATCTGGAAGAGAAAACTTTTGAGTGCAGAACTGCTGGCCACTTATAGATAGAAAAATGTGGCCCCAGGGAGAGACTGYTGATGAATCTAGAAACAGAGCAGCATACTTACAGGGATTAGAATTACTGAAAACATGGCAAAAAATCCCAGGTTTTTATAGGGAATTAAAACAAACAAAACAACCAAACAAACCACCCCCCTCCAAAACAAAACAAAACAAAACTAAACTAAACTAAACTAAAACAAGTAAACAAGCAAAACCATAGAAAATCACTCTGGAGGTCATTCCGTGGGCATTGAGCATGTACCAGTAGTTTTAAGTCCTCTTTCAGGAAGGACCTAACTAGAGATTTGAACTCTCTAGATGGTTCAAAGGCTGCAGCAAATTCTGTTTCTTCTTTCTCAATTGCCACAGTGACTCAGTTCATTATCTGTGTTGTCACAATATCCTCAACAGCTTTGCAATGGACTCAGCTAGGAGATAAGAAAAACCTCTAAAGCCCTGATATTACTTTTTGTTTTGCCTAGGGAGTTTATTCCCAAAGCTTCACATTTGTCTATTAAACTACTTTCAGTTCTTCATGCCCATGAATAGAGAGATGTGCTGTCCTTTTCCATCAGCAATCCCGGAGTGCCTCTGCACCTGGACTGGTTTGGGTAAAGAACATGCAGCAATTGCACAAGAGGCTTAGGTCAGAGGAGGGAATTTGGCTGTATAAAAGATATGGATGCTTAACCCGAGGAAAAAAAAAAAAAAAAAGCACAGTAACTAGGTATTGAGCTTATAGTTTAGAAAAGCAACTTAAAACTCTGCAGAGCTTTTTTTCTTCATAACATTCACACAGGCTTAACAGAGAGGTTGAKAAAATCTTAATAAAATTATGTAAAAAAAATGATAAAAAGCTTAGGTAAGCCCTGCTATGTTTTAAAGGTGACAATGATGAGGAGGAAGCTCAGTTTTGAACAGGTTGAAATATTCTCTCATGTTAAGAACTGTATTCTAACTATATTGAATTTGGATCTCCTAAATTACTTTTTTTTTTTTTAATAGAAGAGTAAGCAGAACAAAAAATTAGTAATTAAGTTTCCCGATCTAAAATACTCAAAAGTCCTCTTCTATTTTGACAGACATCTTCTTAAAGAAATCAGGTGTTAGCCAGATACTACAYTGCAGGGACACAAACTGGTCTCTTACAGACATCTGAGCCCCTGTCCAACTATCAAAGATAGAGGASGGTGGATCAGGCTCTGTCCTTCTATTTGCATGGAATTCAAGCTCTTGRGCTACATAAATTTTTGGCCATCTCCCTGCAAGTGGCGTCTGCTTGGGCTGCTTGCCACTCCCTTCTCCCTCGCTCTCTGGATCAGGAGKTGGCAGTCTCAACGTGGCCTCTGTGGCACGCTGAGCTGAGTATTTGGGTCACTTATGCCTCCATTCCCTTTCCTTCTGACCCTCTGTCTAGCAAAAAAAAAAATAAAATGTATTGGAGTAGAATAAAGACAAAACTGGTCACAGCATGGGTTTTCTACAGGGTTGCCTCTGCCACCACAAYAGATGAAAATGGTTCTAATGCAAACTGAATCAAAATCAACTTGAGCAACTCAGAGAAACCAACAGATGCCAAAAAATGGAAATTAACTGAATTTTAATTATATTGGAAGCTCAGAAATGTAAGTTTCACTGCTGCTTTATTATTTGTATTTTTTTTTAATTGGGACAAAAATCATCTAAGCTCATATCTAGCCCTATGGTGCTTCTTTAAAGATTAAAAAGCAATAAGATAATAAAGAATGCAAATTTTCAGAATGCTCCTCACAGGGAGATGCTGTTTGAAGTAACAGTTCTCTCTCCCGCTCTGCTGCATCTGGGTTGCTTTTAATTATTAGCAAGGAAAATAACAAGTTCAGTAGATGTGGATGCAAGTTCATTTTCACCATCAGTTGTCTTCTGCAACTTACATAGCAACGCTRAGTTTGAGAATGTGGACAGATTCACACGAATGATGAGTAAGAGTATTGCTCATAATGCTGAGTATTACATAAAGCATAGGGATAGTAKGGAGGGTGCTTTTGAATCACAGTCACAAGGACTGTCACAATACACTACCTTAGAAACCAGTGTTCAGTCCTCAGCTTTCATACMCATTCCRGTGGCTTTAGGCAAGCACATGRGATTTAGAATCACTCAGAGATTTCRTTCCTAAAAGGCTACTGTARCACCTCAGTTCGAACATAATRCASARCAGCTGCATGGTCAGGGTGTGAGATCCCKGTCACATGCGCTTGTGRCAAGGAGATGCAAGAAGATGCAAATGGACCTGGTTACTCTGCTACTGCCCTGCCCAAGTGGTAGAGTTGTGCAGGAGCAGGAGAGAAGATAAGAAACACATCAGTATCCGTCTGAGGTTTWGAGCTAAAGGGTCATTTCCACCTTCTCAGCTAAACATGAGATGAAAAAATGTTACATACCTTACTATTCAGCAGACTACAGTCAACCAAGAGAGGATGGAAAAAGAGGGACGTATATAGATAGATGTGTACCTGCAGTCAATCCACTTACTTTGGATTTCCAGCCCCTGGCTTCTTTCTCCGGAATATGTTGAGGAAAGTGTTGGACTTGCAAGGTGCCTTGCCATCCCCGACATGCATACGCACCACATCTGAGGTGGTGAAGGCACTGCGGACGTTCCTCTCGGGCTTGGCTATAATGATGTACATCTTAGGAGTGAACATGCACCCCAGAGCCACTGTCACGCTCAGGCTCACTGCGAAACAGGTGGTGATGATCTTGTAGTTGCTCCCGAAATAGATAGGCACGAAGGCCAGCCAKATGATACAAGTGGTGTACATGGTGAACGCAATGTACTTGGCCTCGTTGAAATTGGCGGGCACGTTGCGGGTTTTGAAGGCGTAGTAAGTGCAGCTCATGATGAGGAGTCCATTGTAGCCTACAGGAGCCACGACGCCCAGATTGCTGGTGTTGCAGATAAGGTAAACTTCCTTAATGCTGGGRTAGGACAGGATGGGCATGGGGGGCTCCAGGATGATCAGCGTGATCACCAGCGTCAGCTGCACGCTGATCARGATGGAGGCAATGACCACCTGGGCCCAGGCGCTCATGAAGCGCGGCTTGCGCGTGCAGATCTTCTTCTTGCTGCCCGCCAGGATGCGYGCGATGCGGTTGGTTTTGGTCACCAGGGCGGAATAGCACATGGCGGAGGAGAGGCCCACCAGGACACGCTGGAGGTAGCAGGAGGTGGTGGTGGGTTTGGCTATAAGGGTGAAAGGGCAGACGTAACCCAGAAAGATGCCAGCCAGGATAATGTAGCAGAGCTCACGGCTGGAGGACTTGACAACGGGGGTGTCTCTGTAGAGCACAAAGATAAGGGTCACAAACATGGTGACCAGGATCCCCAGGCAGGAAAAGACAACAGCCACAATAGACTCTATATTGCTCCACTGGAGGTACTTTACAGGGATGGGTTCACAGCCTGCAGTGTACAGAAGAGAAACAGAGTGTTAGAAAGGCAGCTCCTGGAAGAATTTTTTTTCCTGTGTCCCAATATAATCCAAAAATTAGCATGTGCCTATATGCCAGGYATTATTAAAACCATTTTAACAAAGGGGAGAACCGCAGCATGGAAAAGTTTGGATGGAATATTTTTAAAAAACAGCCATCAGTTTTGGATGTCCCAAACATTTTTTCATGATGTTACAGTAGGAAATTAGATTTGAAAATATCTTCTTTTTGAGATACTTGGTTAAAAGCCCAGCATACCAAAGGTACAGCTGAGAACAGAGCTCAGACAAACTCAGCACCATGCCTTCATTTCAGCAGGGAAAAGATTGTTACAAATCACAATGGGTAGTCTTTTGACCTCCTCAGATTAATTTATTTAGTCATTACCACAACCACTATAGTATGATCTACTACATTTTTGTRGAAATTATTTTATGAATAGCATTAATTAATCAGAGGTCTATGGACAGAGAAATGATAATAAATCCAAAATTTAAATGGAACTGTATAATATATACTGTACCTTCTTAACATATTTCTGGTTTTTTTTCTGTTAACATAACCTTATTTTGTCAAACCCTCTGCTCATTGKTTTCCAACTAAATAATATAATTTGATTGTCTTGGAAAACTCAAACCCACAGAATATGCATGCCTTCAAATAAAAAYTGGAAAGACCTTCCTTTCTGCCTAGTACAGATGTGCAAACACAGGTATCTCTTAAGATGGTATGTAACTGGTCTCCCAAACTCTAGTTAAAGGACTCTCTTGATATCTTCCTCACTGTGCCGAAGAAGTAATACCAGCAATAAACATTAAATAGAAATACAAATGAAATGATAAGCAGAAAATGAAATCCTTTGTGTTAATAAGATGTTATGGTTGAGAAGCTGTCAGAGAAAACTTCCATTCTGGCATTTTTTAATTTCTATTCTACTGATTTAATAGTTCAAAAATGCTTTTAGCATGTTACTTTATCCCAAGGGAAGTATCCATGGCCTCTTCTACTTCTTGTTTCTGTGCTCCTCCACTTTCCCTTGAACACAGCTCACCTTTTCTGCCTTTCCCCCATCTCCCAAGTTTTTCCTCCAAGTYCCTTGCCATTCCTGTCTCAGTTCCCCATACAGTTTTTTTTTTTTTCTAGTCACCTCTCCACCCTGATGTCTTCCTTGCAAACTGCTGGTCTACCTTTTCTCACTCTGGACAGGCTGCTAATGAACTCTGCCCGTCTGAGTTGACGGACGTGGCTGAAAAGAAGAGGGAAAAGCTGATGATATCAGCAAGTTTACGGGAGAGCCATTTTTTCCTCTCAGTTTCRCTGCTAAATCTTAACAATGGCCCTGATGTGATGGGCAGAAGTTAGTCTCTGTCTCTTCCTCTTCAGTATGGAGTGCATCTGCAGAAACCATCTATGAACTAAAAGCTTCTGAGTCTCCCAGCTTTGTTTAATTTCTGTTCCAGGGGACAACAGAAAACTAACAACAGACACRGGTACTGTAATGTAAAGTCCTTCCAAACAATAGAGAAGTAAGCGGAGGTATGGATCAGGGTTGAAGAGTTTTACTGTAACCTCCTTTTGAGAAACAGAAGAAGAAAAAATGTTTTTTGTTGAAATTGAAAAAAAAAAATATATCAGCCCAAGGCAAAATCCTTGACACAGAAAATTTCTCCCTAATTTTGACGATGTCATATGCACTGAAAGGAGATCTTATAATTCCATCCACTTTTTTCTCCAAGAATACCAGACTRACTTAACTGCCGGTGCTGTTATTACATATGCCTTTGATAGCAAAAACTATATAAATTATAGCAGTAGCAACCGGAGGCCTTATTTTGTAAAGAAAATATTATAAAATGTAAAGAAAATTGTACAAAGAAAATACTTTGTCTCAGCGTGGTCTGTTTAAGACTCAGATAGGAAACCCATATTTCCAACCAGTATTTTTGGGATAAAATATGAAGGAATAGCTCTTTTTTAGAAATGTGAACCTTTGGCCATTGGCCTCAGCAGCCGTGACTGGAAACTGGCCCCTTCTAGGATTTAATAAAAGACTAAGGTTCAGAAGCTCCAGCTCATTGATTAATACCTGTGAAGCTCTTCTCAAAGAAGCCAGTTGGAGGTTGTTGGAAGGGTTAAGTTTCAGTATGGGCTTTAAGCTTAACAACATCAAGACATACTCACATTATTCCCCTTTAAACTATATTTTCAGGGGCTTAGCCCAGATCCAACATGGTAGTTAAGCCTATCGTTTGCTTTAAGCTTATCCTGTGTAAGATTTTCTTAGAAATCTTACACTGCCTCATTAAACCAGTGTAATTCCTGTGCACCAGCAAGCCCAGGAACCACGTTATAGAAACAATGGCAAAAGCTCCCTGCACTGTTTATTATCAGCTAACAGTTGTTAGTTAGCTGGCACCTGTGAAGGTTCAGTCATTTCCCAGCTAGGAGAAAGTGGGCTGGAACTCCATTCATTGAGATTGAGGAAGGATACCCAGGAAATTGTGTGTAAATTTAAAAACAAAACAAAATAAAAATGCACACACACAAATAAAAAAAAATAAAATTAAAAAACCTCCACAGCAGCAACTAAACCAAACCTCAAAAAAAAAAAAAAAAAAAAAAAACTCCAGAGAATAAGTGGCAAAAGATTCACAGGTACAATTTTCTGGTAAAAACCTGTCTGGTAGATTTCGTGTACTATTTTCCCTGTATATTATCCATGAATAATTTCCAAGATCAGAAGGCTAATCAATGTTTTTTTTATTACTATGTTCATAGTGGAAGGGACATAAGAGAATCTGTGATGTTTTCTGAGGTCATTAACACATCCCAGATAACTGATGGTCCCAAAACCTTATGATTCTTTTTGTAAGTCTATAAAACTTCCTATTCTATCTTGCTTTATTGCTTATTTAAGATGATTTATATAAACCGAGTTTACTAGCTTGACATTCATCCTTCCTATATTATACTCTGGTACTATAAAATATATCTCTTCTCTTAGTACAAGGTCTAAGGTATTGGCTTTAGTGACTATTTCTTAGTTCAGGTTCCCATTATCTGTGGTGAGATATCCTTTGTGTCTACTGAATTCATATTTAGGGGAAGCAACTAAAAAAAAGTTGTGTTCATTTAAAAATAAAATTAAAATGTCAGGAAATGATTGCTGAGCAACAGAGACTTATTTCAAATGGAGAAAATGAGCACCTTCAAAAGCATGTGTTATGAAATGGGTTAGTATGTGCTTCACATATCTTAAAGGGATTAAGGATTTTAGAGCCTCCATCTGTGATGGAAAATGAGTCTAAAACCACATACATGTTTAGCATTTAAGATTTAAGGCAAAGAGAAAAACAATCTGCACTGTGAGATGTTACCGTCTGTGTCTAGATGCTATGGTGACTGTCAGGGTATGAATACAACACACAAAATCAAGCTATAAAAACATGTTTGGTGGGAGCCCTGGCAAGAAAAGAGAATTCCAAATTAAATCATACCAATGGTGAACTCCCACAAAGTTCAAGAGACAGTTTATCTAGATAAATCACCCTCTTCTAAGSATTAGGATTGCATCAGCTTCTCTTCACAACTCTGTACTTTGTAGTATATTTCAAGTAAATCAATTTTAGGGGTTAAAAAAGAAGGTTTTTTTTCTTCARTCAGACAGACTGAAGAAGCTGTGCRGGAGCAGAYTGCCATTTCARTGTTCTCTAGGAAATAAGTCGATGGCTATGCTGTCATTTGGCTGACGTTACTGTGATTTTAGAACAGCAGCAGTCCARTCTCCTTGCTGAGAAGAAACACAAATCAGCAGGTCATCTACTGATTTCATTAAAAGTTAATAGATTGCAACATGCCCTGGAGATTTTTTCCAGCACTGATGCTTTCTGACATTCTTTTCAGCAGTGCCTGTCATTTTGACATGACCCCTCTTGAGCTACTTTGAGCAGCTGGTAGCACTGAACCATATTATCTCAAGTGCACATTGATCTCTCACCAGGTCCTTGTTCTGGCTTCTTTTTTTATCAATAAGTCCCAGTTTTCKTCCCTGAAGTGTGGATGCAAACAATTCTGTGAACCTCTGAGACCAGCAAAAAAACTTGGTTCTCTGTGGATATCTGCTTTAAAATTAGCAGACACTGGTGTCCTAGGAGTAGGAATGAAATATGAGTTTTTCCAGTGGTCAGGTTATTTATGAAGGGTTCTGTGGATTTTTTTTTTAATTTCTATTAATACCAGACATTTCTCTGCAATTTGGGCCCTTACATTTACTCTTCTCCCTACCGCCCAGTGACATGTAACTTGAAGGATTTGAATGATCACTGAGATTTCTGTATCCTGAAAAATCTTTGTTTGTGGGTTCAGCTGYCCACCAGAGCAGGGTTGGAGCGGGGGTGGCATGAGTGGGAGGTGTGGGATATAGGCATTTACACACACATCTGGGACATCATAGCCATAACTTGTTTTCCATAGAAAACCAATACAGATAATGGATCACATTTCCCAGTCTCTTGTGATTAATAGTATATTTTTGCCTGGACTAGCTTTTGCTCTCAAAATATATCCTCTGAGAGCTCATTTGGCTTCAGTGACTAGCTTAAAGCATCTCATAGAACAATTTAATTGAAGTCTGAGGATTTTGTCTACGTGTTAAATGTTGCAGCAACATCCAGCAGCTGGCCAGTCATGGYAAAGGACAAAGATGTGATTAATTGCACATTTGATCTTCAGCTAGGTGATCAGATTGTGTCTCTGACTAAGAATGATGTTGAATGCTGGCATCCAAGATTTGCAGAGGTGACATGGAGCAGAGGTGCCTCTAGTCTTTCACAGTGACACAAAGCAAACATTAAGGTCAGGGTAATGCTTCTCAATGTCTTATATCTATTTTTTGGGGGGGTGATGATTCCTGCAAAGCCCAGAGCAGGTGTGGAGGTTGACCTTGATAAGTGAAAAACAGAAGGATGTCATAGCATACAACTCACCCATAGCAAATACACAAGGGAGACAAATTCTAACTCCTTACAGAMAGCCTTTACCAGGATTTTGTTGAAATTCTGTTTGCTGGTGGGTGCAGTGAGAATGATCTTTATACCAAACAGGAGCCCAGTAATCACTTACTGAAGGTCCTGAAATCCCAAATAAAGTGCTACTAATTTCATGGTAAAATGATCAGAAAAGTGTATCAAGTCAATATGACAAAAATTAACTGAAGTTTTGTGATAATCATTGCTAAATTGCAGCACACGTTGCTGAGTTCATTAGCAATCTTAACAGCTTTATTAATACTTGTGCTAAATGAAGGAAAAGAACAGACAGATAATAGCATTCCTTGGCAGAAATTTTGCTGTCTTTRTTGTCTCTGCTGTTGCACTAAGCTGAAAAACACTCACCCTAAACTGCACTGGAATGTCCAAGTATGTACCTTTAATATTTCTACATGCTGCCATCTTAGTGTCCAGCATAGAGCATTGTCCTGGTGTCCTGRAGAAAAGGAATGCATTTGGAGGGACACATCCCTACCTGTCAGGTCAGCATTCGGCCACCAGCCAAGCTCACAGGCTTTACATGTGAATTCATCCTGAACAAATTCATTCTCCTTGCAAGCCGTGCAAATCCAGCAGCAGCTCACTTCTCCTTTCCTGATCACCTGAAATACAAATACATCCTCACTGATCCTCTACTGGACAACAAACAACCACCCCCACCCCCCACCCCAAGCAAACACATAACATATACGCAGTTTATAATATGACAGGGTCCCTGTGTACAGCACRTTTCAAACAGCTAGAAAACATGAATCATGATTTTGTGTCTATCCCTGTGTATTAASGTTTGTGCTTGGGAGTTCAAGGATAACCTCTGGGAACAATTACATTTAGTTTTGGGGAGAGTAGTTCTGAGTTAAGAGTACAAAACCATTTTCCCTTTAGTACGGAGGCATGGTGAATGTCATATTTTCAATCAAACTTGAGGTTTAATCTCTGAGATGGCAGAGGTCAGGACAAGTAGCTCAGCCCACACTTAATATCTATTGCAYGGTAAAAAGCACTAAACAAAGTCAAAGGTTAGAACAAAGAGTAATTCATGCATGTAAATACAGATATATACATGCACACCCAGACACATTCACATACACATAAATTCCAATTTATGTGGAAGTCTCTTTGGGACTCATTATACAAGTATAAATAGAAATTCAAATAAGAGCAAATTACAAAATATCCTGCTAAAARGATATATTGGGCTCCAGTTGAAAAAAACAAAAGATTAAGCAGTGACCAACTAATACTTCAGAACAGCCCTTTTAGGGAAAAATGTCCCTGAAAATTCTCTTTCTGTGCTGAGAGGGCTGCTAAATGTAATGATCCAATGCTGAAAAGATCATTTCCTTGTCTTTATTCCCAGTTTCATTACCCTAAGGCTGAAAGAAAGATTAAGGATATCTCCAGCTCACAGGGCTCTGACAAAGACTCTGGCCTTGTTTGCCAGGAAGGAGGAATCCAGCCTTCACTTCCAAATCTCATATCCATCTATATGCAGAGATAAGTACAGTAGTGATATACTAAATGTTTGTTTTATTGAACACTGGCTTCGTGAGCTTTTTTTTTTTTTTTTTTTTTTTTTTTTTTTTTTTCTTTTTTTGTTAACATTTCCTCCTGCAGTCTGTGGAGAGAGTCCAATAGACTTCAATGAGAGCTGAAGCTGGCATTTTGTATGCATGGTGTTTACATATACACACATACACAAACTGCACAATCTCAAAAACAGGGAAAAGATGTTTTGGAGGGTAGTAAATACCAATAATGTTTCTCCTCCAAGACTGCTGAAATATTTCACTATGCCTTTGCCAAATCATCCATCGCTTATTGCTTAGAGTAGCAATATAGAAATAAAAATCTGCAAATGTGCTTATTAAATGAAARTAGAAAGGAAGATCTGCCCTAAGGAGATTTTGCTGAATGGGCTTCTTGCTATTTTGAACTTAATGCATCCATACCMTTTTGTGAAGTATGTCTTTATGTCTTTTTGTGGTGAAGTACGTCTTTGTGTCATCCACACGTGACTGGTAGCAAATTGTTTGTAGCCTGATGCAAGTGCTACTGTTTGGTAAACACAGTGATTTCATTTGTATTTCTATTCCTCCTGGTGTGAACATGAGACACAAATAGGCTTGGGGGTTTTTTAATTTTTTACAAATTTTCTTTGCAGGTGTTGTTGCTAGAACAAAATACTGGATCCCCGTGGGTCATATTTTCAAGATCAGCCCCCAAGTGAATCACAGCCACTGAATGTTGTAGGCAATGACTAAGTGAAAAATCTTTCTCACATAAGGTAAAATCCAAATCCTGTCACACTATAGGATTCTACATCCCTACAAAGGGTAATTTTAGAAAATATGGGGCTGTATATACTGTCATTAAAGAAAGATGTTAATCTTGGAGTCTTTCTACAATTTTCACTTTTCTGAAGAAAAGGAAGTCCTATCTCTAGACTTGAAAGAAGCTTTCTTAGGTTTAGGGAAAAACACATACTGGATATTCACATTTCTATAGCAGACTCTAAGTGTCTGAGGCACACCTTAATCTGGCCCTTCAGGCATGGCTCACTGCACACTGATCGCACCATTCCACTCTTATTCATCTGAATCCTGTAGTCGTCAATGTTGAGCACGCCCTCRTGCCAGGTCCCTATGAGAACGTAGTCGTAGCGGTTGGGCTCTATGTACTGCAGGTTCATTATGTCATACCTGCAAGGAAAAAAGAGAAAGTGACTCACTGTCCTGCAACATAAAGAACACAAATTTACCTTGCTCTTCTCCTTCTGCCTATAAGTATTCATGTTATCCCTGGTGGTTTTTCACAAAAACCCCAAATCCCGTGGACAGAATCATAAGAAATGTCAACTCTGATTGCCACACAATTACTCATTGYCTGCCTTGCTTGCACAAAACTGTGGGTAAGATGTTGTGTATCCTGGAGGAACTGCACACCAAAGACAGCAAACCCTGCTAAAGATGCACATGTAAGCAATGTCTGGATCTTGTGTTTCCAAATAATTTTTCAATACATCTTTAACATTCACTTGATGTCTCCATGCAGGTTGGCTGTAATATAGCCCTTGCTGGAAACTCTTAAGTAGCAATGCTCAAACCAACCGAGCTGTTGCCATAAGTTAAGTGTAAGCTCCAAGTTCAACTATTCATGTTGCACAGCCCAGTGATCCTGTCAGGAAAAGTTAGCAGCTCAGTCACAACATTTACTTCCTTACCCTAGGCAAATAGGAGAGCACTCCCCAAGGCTAAGATAAGGGAAACATAAACACTGTTACAATAAACATCCAGCCTCCRCCATTGCCTTCAATGTCTTGGACCTGATGTATGCATATCCCTTCTTGCTAATTATTCTATTCATTCTTTTACCCACAGAATGTGGCTGATTCTTAGTAGGAAATAAGCAAGAATGGAAGAATAAATCTTGGACTGTGCACAGAGAGAAAGAACCACAAAAGAGGCTAAACTGACAGCCTTGTCTCTTAAGATGAGAAGGGGGAGGGCTTTTTTTAATAAATGACAAGAGGAAGAGGATTGAGAACAAGGAATCAGCATTGGAGCTGAAAATAACAAAGCATCTTCTGTGTTTCCAAGCCTGGAGTTACTGCCTTGCTCTTTTGTACTGGATTGTCTCAATCTCTGGAGAAAAAAAAATCTTTAGTTTATAATGGGTGTTGCTTCTCTGTACATGCTTCAAGAATGAAAGGAAAGGTAAGCAAAGTATAAATAGCCGTAAATAAAACTGGGATGTTTGCTTGTGAGCCAAGAGAGACATTTATTTCTTTCTTTTCTATTTTGAGGTTAAAACATGCAAAATTTCTACTCTCTCTGCTCTTCACAGAGGGAAGAGGTGCTAGAATTATTCTCTAGAGTAGAGCAGAGTATTTATCTTAACTATATCTTTGGGGTTTCGTTAAAGATTATTTGAAGAAATGCATATTTACAGCTGTAATTAGACCTCATTTTTGCAAATATGCATGCTCAGAGAATGCCAGTATCACTACAGAGCTCCACTGAATCACGTGTGAAAAGGGATTCCTGCCACTGAGTTCAGTGGAGCTCCAAGCAGGAGGCAACTCCATTGGTTGGCAATTGCCAATAATCAAGACATTGCTTAGGAAAGGGGTAAATTTTCAATTCATTAGTAACAATTGCTTCTCATATCCCAGTTCTTCCAACAGAAGTGCCTAAAAAAAGAAATGCTGTTTCCAGGCTGGTGAAAAACCAGGACAAGAAGCAGAGGGAGTCAGGCATTTCATAATGGAGACTCAACCATTCTGAGTAAAACTCAACAGAAATGTACATGCCTCTTCCTAGCAACAAAAATGTACTTGGATTTTAGTTTGACATTATATTAGATTGATTTAAATCAGTTACTCTGGGCAGGAAATTTCATTCAAAAGGGGGATAAAAGATTACTAAAATCTCATATTCCTTTAATGGAATTTTTGAGCCCCCACACTGTTTTCATTTTCATAAAAATGTATTGCAAGGCACAGAGTGACATTAATGCAATGTCAATTAAGAGTTTCTTCTGTGTTCTTGTAATACTATTCCCTTTCCTATAGGTTACCTGTCAAAAAATGAAGTATGTAAACTAAAAGCTCTTAGACAGTCTTGTGTTATGACAAGCTGTRGTACAATGTTTGCAGCTTTGATATGCAGCTTGAACTTTAAGCGGAAACCTGTGGTCTAACAAATRCACCTGGTATATGGAGATGTATTTAAGTTTTTTATTCTTTCCTTCTTTACCTTAATGAAAAATCTGTGCTTTGAGCAAGGACAAGAGCACTGTTGGAATACCTCCTCCCACCCCTTTGCTCACATATGTACAACTTTAACAACTTTGGCTGTGTCCATGCTAAAAATTATGATCCCAAAATGGATTTGGCAAGAGTTGTGGGGCTCAAAGAAAGTGAGGCTTCTTGGAGGCAATTGTATTTCACACACATATGACAGCATTTAAAGAAGCCATTAAAATACTCTGCAGGTAAGAAAATTAATCCTTCTTTTAATATAGGAGCAAAACTCCCTGGTATGTTGGGAAATGATGTGCCCTAATAAGTAGTGTCTTTTGAACAAGTTACTTGTAAGGCAAGCCAAAATATAAGTCAGCTGGTCACAGGCACACTCTTACTCTAGTTAATCTGAGACAGCTGAAGTTACCTTTTTCCATAGCCACAATACCAGACTGGTACTGATGTTTGTTATCCTGGAACTCAGGATGGAGAAGAGCAATGCTGAGCAATGCCAGGATGCAAATGGACAAAACAAACACCTTTGAATCCAAACTCCAAACAAAAAATGTATGTTTGAAAAAAAAAAAAAACCTAATTTACATATAAATTTGAAACCTTTACATAAGGCAAAATTTGATTATTTACTCAAAACATTGGAGCTGGTGGAGTTGTCATGACTGAAGCCAGAAGAGCTACTGGAAAGTTTGAACTAAATAGACTTACATGGTTCTAAGTCTGAGTCTAATTAAGATGAAATGTTAGTTAGGTGAACTATTTCTCTTAGTTTGTAAGCCTAGGCATTTCTCCACACATCAGATGTTCGTTTTATGGGTTGAAATTTCTCCTACCTGTTGTCACAAAGCATTTTATGGTCAGAGATCTATGCAAATCCTTTGTTCTAGAGAGGTAARGTTCTTCATACCAGCCACAAGGTAAAAGGAGGCAATTACCGAGAATAGACCAGAGCTAAAAATGTATCTCTGTATCCCAGAGAAGGATGTCATATTGATTACTGCATCCTTCACACCCTCTCCAGCCATTTTGAGTGATATGATTACTACAGAGAAAGGAAATAGGAGCTACTCAAYGAAAGTAAAAAGTGCAGCAAATTTATCAGCATGTTCTTAATGACAGCATACACATGCAGTTGAATTTCCAGAGTTACATCCACATCATTTTTCCCCAGAGGGAGTGCAATCAGCTAAATGACTGCATTTGTGTCCTTCTGAAAAAAGTCTGCTTCATATTTCTGCATAAGAGATCTTCAAAGAAAAGATTCTTCACAGGAGAACTACACTTTTGACAACGTGCTTTGTGTTTTCTAATCTCATTTTGATAAAAGCTTGAAACCATGAATTGAGCCTGAGATAGAAAGAGTTGTATCTAAACAAATGGTTAAGGTATCATGAAGCTGTAAGKGTTTCAAAACAGGAGATTATGCAAGTGCCAGACAAACATAACTACAGGCAACTCTATCTGCTCTACCCATGATGATTGATTGTAGGAGTTTGTGGGAGTCAATTGCTCACAGAACCTCGCAGATTTTGAAAACTATGAGGAAGGTTTCTTCTTTCTAAGAAAGAATATTATTCCACCTTGTGAAGTTGATTTGTTCAAATGATTTGATGACAAGGTATCTAAAAACTTTTTACACATTTGTGTTACATTCTTGCACTGGAATACAAAACCCTAAAAACTAGGAAATTTCATAGCAGGCTGTCTTTGCTATATTTAGGTATTGTATRTGGTGTTTATCTTTCCATTTTGCTGAAGTAGAGAAACTCTTTTGGGTATTGACACAGTACTATGGTCTGTTCACTAACCCAAAAAGAGACTTTGCACATGAAGCTGTGGAAACACTACAGCCAATTTGAAGTTACAGATTATTCTGTTAAACTAGTGACAGATTATTCTGTTAAACTAGTGCTGGCATACAAGGATCTGACAGACTGTAGATCATATTTCAAATACACATAGCCATTCTCTGATATGATATTGCCCATATCATGAATGCCACAGATTGATCCAAGGATTATAGACTGCATAACAAAAAGGTTAATTGAACTTCCTTACCCAAACTTACTAGCTCCAGCTGTGAAAATATAAATGAGGAACAAGGACAACAACAGAAAAATCTACCTAAAATAACCTATCAAATTCTAAGTAGGCCAGGGAATCAAGAAAAATGAACATTGCTATAGACCAGAATCATGGATGGAACAAATTCTATTATTCTGGCATACTCAGAGAAATATCCTGATATACGCTATCTTATATTTTGAATTCAGCAACCGTTCAGTCTAATTCTATGCTTGGTGCTGATGAGATTTGTGAAAATGCTTGTGGGTGACAAAATAACAAATAAGAATTAGACTAAAATTGGAAAATTACATCTAAACATCAAACCAAATAGCTATCAGACAGAAAATGCAGCATATGCAAAGCTGGAGTAATGCTTTTATGGACACAAATAGTTCGCAAAAAGCATAAAGCTACACTAAGCAGTAATTTCTCTGTATTATCTAAATTATATATGTAAAGATTTGATTTATGCATTTATGTCAATAAGTATGTTTTCAAACGTAAGGGAATTGCTTGCTTATACTTTCAAAGGCTGACCTAATTGATCCATATTTTTTTACTAAAAAAATCTGAAGTCAAGGCTAAAAAAGACCAAACTGACTAGCTTTTTATTGCCAATTAAATGTAACAAACTGTTTAAATGTATGAACGGCTTAAGTATGACAGTAGAAAAAAAACATAACAATATAGCAAATGGTAAAATATTGGCCAGTTTTGCTAATAAAGCCTAGTAATAAAGATAAGAGTCGTTTTAAGACCACTGTGTCTTACAAATACTCTTTGGAGGCATGAAAAGACATGAAAACGTTTGTTTGCTCCAGAGCCCTCCCTTTGTGTGCTGCTGGCACCCAGATGCACTTATGCAATAAGCCCAAAGATGGAGTGAGAGAGTCTTTTATAACACTTCAATAACTCAGTAGGAAAACTAACTTCAGTGAWGAAATCCCTGAGTAGGTTTCAATTAATAATGGATTTTGTACAACAGCAGCTGAATTAGATGTATTTATAAAAGAGAAAACAAGCAAACAAAAAAAGAAAATAAAACCCATGTGTTAAAATAGTTTAACAGAACCCACAAAACTAAATGAAAGATCTCTGTCAGTTTTCTCCTGCAAGAAAAACTGAAGTGTCATCCAAGCCCACAAAACTGCTGCTTTACCCACTGCCTGGGTACATCCTGTGTCTGCAAGAGGGGCTAGACATTAGCAGCTGCCACAGCTGGGACCAGTCCCCAGATGAACGAAACACAGAAACTTTTACCCAAAACACCTCCAGTTATTTGTCTGACTTACCTTTAAATTCTGGGACTGATCTGATTGCATTTGAAGTGAAACAAGTTAAGGAGACCATATAGRAGTTTACCATTCAACACTAAATAGTCTCTGGCAAGGTCTCAGCAGAGTTCCGGTTGGAAAAAGATGTRTTCTACACCCCTCCCTTCAAAACTCTGACGAAGGCTTCATTAAATTCCAATCATTTGTATTAGGCTTTATACTGATGAAACCTTGGTGCAGAGCCCCAGTCATACCTCAGACTCCAAAAGTCTGTGAGTTACAAGGATTGTCATCACCTAAAACACTAGAAATGGTATGGGATATGCAGCAGTTCCTGTCCCAATAAAAGATACCATGTGTTACCAGTTATTCCGATGGCTGTTGGAAAGACTGATCCAGATAACTCCATTTATGTCTTGCAGTCTGCATGCTTTATGTTTCAGCAAAACAGCCAATGAAGTCTACATCACCAAACACAGTAATATTCCCACTTCCCAACCTCTGCTTTAATTAGGTGATATGAAACCTCTTTACCTTCCAGGGGCATCTCCCTTTTCATCAAACCAAACTTCTTCTCCAGAAACACCAATGAATGAAGATTTGAGGAGGAACTCCAAGAGCTTGCTGCCATCAATTGGCTTCATAGCGTCACACAGTCCAACATGTCCAGGGCAAAGGGAATGGTGCATATTTTGTAGCCCATAAGCCATAGCATATATTGCATTGATGACAAAYCCCATTTTACTGTCCTGCACATAATTTTCTTCTAGGCTCTCATTGCCTACAATAGTAAGGAAAAAAAAATGTTATAAAAAAAGATGAAATGACATGAAAATATGAAAAAAGCAATTATATATAAAAAAAAAACCTATTTCCTTATTTCTCCTAAAAAGTTTTAAAGGTGCCCATCATGGATTTTAATTAAATAAATAAATGAAACAAACACTTCTCCACCACCACCGCAGAAACCATCAATTCACTGAAAGTTAAATGCTTCATGAGAAAACACAAGTTTAATCAAGTTGTCATCTTTTGCTTGTTATTTTTTWAATTTTTCCTTGTCATTCCACAACATTGCTCATGCTATGAAAGGTTTWAAAAGGCCAGCATCAAGAAGATGCATTTCAGCTGGAACAATTTTTAAAAGCAATTTACTTGTAAATTTGATTTTTTTGTCACATTTGAATATTTTTTCTGATCTCATGTTTTTGAGGGTCAAGATAGCAGTGTCATTTTTAGTGTTAATAAGCAAACAGCGTTCATCAGCATTACCTCTCGAGTTATCAGAAAAAGTCATTTGAGTCAAAAGTAGTAGTAGAGGATACTGTTAGAAAGACTAATCCAGATAATTCCATTTATGTCTTCCAGTATGCATGTTTTATGTATGTTTTATTTATGTTTTATGCTGGTTCAGGATTGGTACAGAAAGCCAAAGTTTATGACACTAGCGGAGTTTTTGTGTGACTGCAGCCTGAGCAGACATTGAAGTCCCTGTCYGCTGATCAGAAGCAATGTGGCAGTGAAGGTTTTCTCTGCACAGAGGTTTCTCCTCTCATGTGCAGGTGGGCCAGCACTATCAGAGGGTGCCGTTTGTCAGAGATTCATACCAGACACCGCCGGGTCCTGGGCTGCTCCCTGYTTCCCATCTCTGGCTGGACTGCTGCAGAACGCAGCCAGCGCCTACCCCAGGGCACTACAGAGCTGTGCTTCAGGGTCCYGGGGCAGCTGGAAGCAAGAAAACTCCTTGTTTTGCTTCTTTCCCCTTGAGTCATTCAATCACAATATGCTCCGCTCCAAGCTTTTATCTGTAGGCCTCCTACGTTACTCGATGYTTAACAGGCATTTGCAATCCAGTCTCTGTTATTTTGTCTAAGTAACACCTTGTGTACACCAGGAAAGTAGGATGTGTGAGAGACTAGGTGTTAATTTATACTTCTTGAATCCAGGTTGGAGAAGATATTTGTCAAATTAATATGATGAAAGGAGATAAAAATCTACCAGTTCACAAAAACTTTCAGGTTACAAATTAGTTCCTTACCCTAATGTACATTTGTTATGGCTTTGTAATCAAACCATGAAGACTGTCTGACGTGGCCTTGGCCATTTTTAGAGCTGTGTGTGGGGGTTGGGCTGGAAAACAGCCTGGACTCAGACATGGTCAAAACAGGCAGACTCGAGCTGGACGGGATTGGACAGATGAAGGCATCTACCAATTAGAGACTGGAACGTGATATGTGGACATTGGAGAGTTTTCTGGCTATGTAATCTGTCTAGAGCTTCATTGATTGGTTTATTCTCAAAACCYGGTAAAGATAAGAAAGTGTATAAAAAGCATGCAGTAGCAGTCAGGCAGGAGAGGAGAGCTGAAGGAGCKGGAATCACTAAGAAGAAAGAGCTAAAATAACTATGCCTAAAAGAGCTGAGCTGAAATCCGAAGATTAATAAAGAAGAACCTGTCTACGCCTCTCGTGTGTTTTTCCCGCGGCGGGCAGTTACAGCTGTCCTCACATTTATCACTGGAAAGAGCTCTGATTTGGTAGTCTTCTCAGTTTGTTTGCCCTACAACTCAGAAATGTAAGTTGGGAATTCATTAGGACAGCTGAGATCCCAGATTCAGGGATGTCTATCTTGCTTTCTCTGGGTTGTATTGCAGTTGGGAAAGAAAATTTTGCCTCAGTATTTTCCAGATGAACTGAACATAGCAAACAAATGTGATGGTGAATTTAAAAAGCTCTGTGAATACAGCACAATCTGACTGAATAAGATCATGTGCTCCTCACTGCCATACATTCACCACCAGCACCACCAATCAAGGACAGCGGAAGAAATTCTTTCCAGAGGCAGCATATCTTCCACTTTCTCCATGAGAGAAGGTTCCCGGCTCCCATTCCAATCACATGAAACCAACACAATTCAGATTCGTGTTCAGAAACACAGAAAGGATATAAACCTCATATGTGAGATGGCAGAACATTTACCCAGGGAAGCAGAGAGCATGCCAGTGCATGTGCACCCTCACTGAAGCACAGCACAGCCCAGACATCTAAATGCCATATAGATTAATACATAGTCTCAGTAAAGCATCTGTTGGTGTGTTTTGTCTGCTGATTAGTCCCATAGGATTAGCACACTGTGAATTCATCACTGATTCTGCTGTCTTGTAGCTAGAAAATGAGTGTTCTTGGTCCCTAAGTGAAAGAACGACAGAAAGAGCCTGAGCTCAGCAAAGCAGTCCTCCCTTGTGAAGCTTCTTGGCAGTAGGTAGTGGAAGAGATCACAAAAAACAGACAGTGCACAGCACTCACTATCTACTCTTYTCTATCTGAAAGTTTATCTCAGATGCTTCCTTAATTTCTCAATTAATTAAAGAAGTGGAGCATAACCATCAATAATTCTTGCAGGAGATAAGGATAACATCCATGTGTTTCCCAAGGCAAGCCTTCATATGGCTGCTGGAGGTAGAAAACAAAATGTAACAGAACCTGCCAATGTTTAAAAGGAGGCCATTTCCCTTAAGAATGTATTCACTCTGCAAAACGTGCTTTGGATAACCATATTCCAATATAATATGCACATCTCCAAAGAGAATAAACATTTTATGGTGGGAGAATTTGGTTTTGGCTCTTTTGGAATGAAGACCTAGCTTAAATTAGGGCTACAAGCACAAAGTTCCACACTGCAGAGGTGGCTATCTTAATGTCACCTATAGAAATAATTATATTTTAGTGGAAAGCAACATGTGAATTATCTGAATTAATTGTTTGAATGAATTGAAAGCGTGTCTCCAGACCAGTAATATAAAAATCCTATATGCAAATAAAATATTTTCCAGTAAATCTAGATAGAGAAGTCATACTTTCCCTAAATTTGACTTTCTAGAGTCAAAAGCCACTTTATTTCATTTTTAAATTTTTAAAACTTTAAACATTATAATTTATCAATAGACTTATGCATTTGGATTTATAAAAATTCACTTAAGATAATTGGTGAGAAATGTGTGGGTTATTAAAACAAAAGAAATCATGTGATTATGTTCAGCCAGAGATATAATAATGTTCAGTTAAGTTTTCATAGGGCAACTTTTAATAAATGCAAGTATTTTGCCATATTTATCATGAGGTTTCTCCATAAAGTTGTATTTTTTGTCAGTAAGTCTTTGAAATGTAACAAAGTGCAAAGCAGGACTCTGAACAGTGAAACTTTTTTTCTTCATTTCTCAGCCATTGGAAGAAAATACAATTGATCTACAAAGACTAATAGAAAAATATTTTGTTAGCTTTCTTCCTTTTTTTTAATATATGTTTTAAAGATGTTAGCTTTCACTAAGCAAAGAAAAATTGCAAGTTATGTGAGTACTGGATTAATTGAAGACACTCAAATTAGAACATAAATTTTTTTATGACCTTGAAGAATTCAGGTGTCCTAAATATAATATTTAATTTTGTATTGGATGTAATGCTGATCTTCCTTTAATAATTTAAATTTAACAGTTTCTTAGTAGTATAGGTCATTTTTTTAATCACAGTTTTGATTTCAATCTTTGTTTCTGTCAGTAAATCTTAGAGGATGGGGGCCTGTACACACATGCACTACTAAATGGAAAAAAAAAAAAAAAAACCAACAAAACCCAACAATAAACCAAACATCACATCCTGGCTGCAGACAACTGAAAAATGCTCCCAGTAGTTCAAATGGTGATTCCTAAGTACAGGGAGAAGGAAGTAAAACTCAAATTTTCATGAAACTCACTGGGAATCTTTCCATTTACCATAATGTACCTCACAGCTGACCAATATTTCAGTTAGGTACTTAGAAGGATCTGACTGTGAACCAGCTGTGAATTTAGTTTAGTGCTTTTGCTGTGAAGTCAGTGTGGAGCTAACAGTGCTCTTGAGAGCAGAGAGCATATTTTGCAAATCCTACTTGACAAGCTGAAATAAAWTTAAAATATGCTACGAGAATTATGGGAAGACATGAGTTAGCTTTCATATGAAAGTAAAGATAGGAGATGTCTCTTCATATTCAATGTAAAACTCAACACCAAGGATTTTTTTGTTTGCAGTCCTCAGAAAGGTTAGGGCAGGAGAGAATTTGTGAAGGAAATGTAAAAACATTTTGGTTGGGGAATCTGATGAATACCTAGCCAGTTGGCAAATTTTGAGCAAACACACACATTTGATAAAGAACACAGTCTGTTCACAGATGACTCTTGATTAGATTAAAAAGTCAAAATCTGTTCAGAAAAATTGTTATAAAGGATAATATTTCATCTGGAGTAGGCAGGCAGTTTTATGATTTGCTATGGTCATTGCTACATAGTTAGGGTCACATAAAAAGCTAACAACTGTTATGAGAGCTATCTTCATTTCTGGTGGTCCTGAYAGAGGCATGGGGGTGTAAAAAATTGTGTATACTGCCTTCTTTATTTGTAGTGGTCCTTCCCAGGATTGCCATGCTTCATGAGTAGGTCAAATGGGATTTTAGCTTTGTTGCAAGTTACAACATGGGTGATGGTTGCACTCAAGAAAAGTGCTAATTTATGAAAAAAAAAATCTGGAAGAACAATTGGGGCAATATTTCAGTGGGAAAATGAAATAAAATAGATCTCCCATACTTGGGTTGCATACACCAAGGAGTAAAGAGGGCTACCCCTGCAAAATGCCAGGTATGAACTGGTAGAGCAGTACCCAGGCTCATATCAAATGTCCATGTGCATTGGGCAAATTGTGGAGACAGGCTTCTTATGGTCCCCTTCAATCCCAACATAAACTGCCCTCCCCA